CAATATTATTACGCATATTACGACTACTATCATCGCACGAACGGTAATTATCCTCACTACTCAAATTATTATCAATATTCGGTTATATTAGGTTAGGTCAGGTCCCAAGGTTAGGTTACATTAGGTTAGGTTAAATTAGGTTATGCCAGGGCCCAAGGTTAGGTCAGATTAGGTTAGGTCAGGGCCCAAGGTTAGGTCAGATTAGGTTAGGTCAGGGCCCAAGGTTAGGTCAGATTAGGTTAGGTCAGGGCCCAAGGTTAGGTCAGATTAGGTTAGGTCAGGGCCCAAGGTTAGGTCAGATTAGGTTAGGTCAGGGCCCAAGGTTAGGTCAGATTAGGTTAGGTCAGGGCCCAAGGTTAGGTCAGATTAGGTTAGGTCAGGGCCCAAGGTTAGGTCAGATTAGGTTAGGTCAGGGCCCAAGGTTAGGTCAGATTAGGTTAGGTCAGGGCCCAAGGTTAGGTCAGATTAGGTTAGGTCAGGGCCCAAGGTTAGGTCAGATTAGGTTAGGTCAGGGCCCAAGGTTAGGTCAGATTAGGTTAGGTCAGGGCCCAAGGTTAGGTCAGATTAGGTTAGGTCAGGGCCCAAGGTTAGGTCAGATTAGGTTAGGTCAGGGCCCAAGGTTAGGTCAGATTAGGTTAGGTCAGGGCCCAAGGTTAGGTCAGATTAGGTTAGGTCAGGGCCCAAGGTTAGGTCAGATTAGGTTAGGTCAGGGCCCAAGGTTAGGTCAGATTAGGTTAGGTCAGGGCCCAAGGTTAGGTCAGATTAGGTTAGGTCAGGGCCCAAGGTTAGGTCAGATTAGGTTAGGTCAGGGCCCAAGGTTAGGTCAGATTAGGTTAGGTCAGGGCCCAAGGTTAGGTCAGATTAGGTTAGGTCAGGGCCCAAGGTTAGGTCAGATTAGGTTAGGTCAGGGCCCAAGGTTAGGTCAGATTAGGTTAGGTCAGGGCCCAAGGTTAGGTCAGATTAGGTTAGGTCAGGGCCCAAGGTTAGGTCAGATTAGGTTAGGTCAGGGCCCAAGGTTAGGTCAGATTAGGTTAGGTCAGGGCCCAAGGTTAGGTCAGATTAGGTTAGGTCAGGGCCCAAGGTTAGGTCAGATTAGGTTAGGTCAGGGCCCAAGGTTAGGTCAGATTAGGTTAGGTCAGGGCCCAAGGTTAGGTCAGATTAGGTTAGGTCAGGGCCCAAGGTTAGGTCAGATTAGGTTAGGTCCTAACCGGTTAGGTTGGATTAGGTTAGGTCTGGGCCGAAGGTTAGGTCAGA